TTTGTGATTGAAAATTATTAGGGACGAATTTGTTTGGCATACAATTGTAATGTTTAGTAGTTATACCAGTGGATCTGTTGTTTGTAAATGCTTTTTGTGGAGATCTTTTGTTGAAGAGGTTTGGTAAATTTTGGGTATATCTGAGATTTTCCTTTTCAATTACGTAAGACATTGCTTGCTCAATACTTCTAGGGTTTCTTAATCTGATAATACTTTGCAGATTACCTGTAAGTCCGCGAATAAATGTTTTTAAAGCGACATTATCATCTTGTTTAGAGTATATTAATTTTGTGGCTTCTAATAATTCGGGGGATTCGTTTCTATTAGGGTAAAGAGTAATAAGGTCTTGTTCTAAACAGTCTAAATTATGTTGATCCCCAAAACTAAGTTTTAATGAATTTTTTATTGATATCCAAAACTATTAAGATCAGTTCTGGAAGCAATTAATATCTGAGCTCTCTGATTAAAGGTTAATAATAGAAATTAAAGTAAATAATTCATCGCAAACTGATATAAAAATTTCGAGAGTATCTGGATCGCCATTATAATGAGGGACTGTGTTTACGTACAGTTTTAATAATTCGTAATTAACTTGTTGATCTAGCATGCTTGACAAATTAATATTGTGAAATGCGTTAGTTAGAAAATCTAAGCTCATCAAACGAGCGTGACGATTATTATTATTATTAAAAAGGGGTTTATGAAGGTAAGAACGAATACTCGGACCAACTTGGGTATTGCCTGTCTTCTGTGATGTCTTCGATAGACTGTCCAATGCAAGTGAAAATGAAATTCTTTTAGGTACCGCCAAAAGAATTAAAATTCCAAATTGCAATTTGTACTTTGCAACTGCGATATCCTACCGACTGCGCCAATTAAGTTTATTCACGAATAAACAACTAAATTGTTTATTATTTCGACCTGTTACACTTTTACACTTTTGTTACTTATTAATGTACTTAATAATACAGCTGATGATAGGTTGTTTGACATTGGATCATCGAAAGTCCATCATTAGGTTGTTTGGAATTTCCCTAATATAACTCGGGCACCGGCTTCATTTGTGGGGAGTAAAAAAAATATTTCCGAGATTTTATTACGAAACAAATTAAAAATTTGCACCAGTATTCCTAGCACAATTGAGGTGGGCACCAGGGTGGATCTCAAGTTTTTTGTTGGGCCAATTCGGTTTCAAGATTTTCATCAAAGGTGACTCTTTTAGCACATAAATATGCTTTTTTGGAGCCAATCATGTGAATATTCTGTCACATTATCATTTAACAAAGCAATTCTTCAATTTATCTTTATATGAGGGTAGGGGAATAAAATCTACTGCAGATATATGTGCACTGACCCAGTCCAAATCAGTTGGTGGCGGTGGCGGGTTTAAGTTTGTGATTTTCGGTATGCTACCATAATTGTTTTCGCATGCTGTTTTAGGCGAAAATACAACATCTTCAATTTTGCTGACTCTCGATTCTTCCCCAGTTCCCTGAATTTTTCGGATAATGTCTTCCACAATTGTGTGTTTTTTAAATTGATCCGCGGATCGCTCGCCTTCGATTCTAAAATATTGGTATTGTCTACCAAAAACTACACGAGGAACGTTCTATCCTTCTCTGAAAAATTTCCCCCTCTAACGCTCTTATCCTTGTTGCCGACGTCTAGGTACATTAAACGGAAACGTGGCCAATAAATACCTATGGGATAATAAACTACCATACATAAACAAGGTAGGCAATAAAAATACATATGAAATCCTTGTTTAAAACAGGTACGTTTTGACAGAACTTCATAACATTTTATTTATTAGAACAAGAAAGCGAAAAATGGCACTTAGAATTGCAACATACATTGTCTTTTTGCATCTACAACCGGAATTGTAAATTTTTTCTCACTACAAATTTTCATTTTTGTCTTTGTCTGCTTTAAATCGTAAGCTTTGAATCTGTTGAATATTATAATGTCGGTGCCTTCCAAATTTAACGTGTATAACATTTTGCCTTCTTCGTGCCCCACGTTGGGCGCCACTTTTTATAACACGCGGTTTGCTCAGTGGAAACTTTATTCAAGAACACATAATATGTACACTGCATGAGACATAATAGGGTTTTACACGACTTCGTAAAACAGTCACTCCACGGATAGACAGTCCTGCCGTACTTATGGTAACTCGTTCACTCGCGATCAACCGGGGTGTTTTCCAATGGCCGGACCTGCGGGACCCCTCGGATGCGCCGCTGATACTCAAGCCGTCTTGCCGCTCAATCTAGACCTCCAAGACCCCGCGGATACAAGGTGATACACAGATGAGTGGCGAAGTTTCGTAAATGGAAAACTTGCCGACTCTGGCCGCTCGGGTCCTATGTAAAGGCGGCCGGAAATGCGTCGCGTGGGAGTGAGAGGGCGCACCGCCCTCTGGTAAGGGAGCGAGCGAGTACCGGGGTGCTGCTGCATGGCAGTGGTGGTGCGTGGGCGTGACAGAGGGCGCTAGGGGTACTGATCGCGCTACAGTCTCCCCCTCAGGACCATAGGGTGCGTCCCTGCCTATTGGTCCTGCTGGATTTTTCTTGGGCGGCCTCGTCGTCGCAAGGGTTGCACCGGTGGCATGGGCTGGGTGGCTTCCTGCGTGGGAGGCTGGTACGGAACGAGGTCAGAGGCGTGATAGAGCCCTAACACTACATCGGGCTGTTGGTGGGCGGCGATCTCGTAGCTCGTGGGACCGTGCCTTCGTAAGACCACGTACGGTCCGTCTTGCTTAGGGGCGAATTTTGACGTGAACCCCTGGGAGGCCTTACTCAATCGGTGTGTTTTTACCAACACCAAATCTCCGGGGGCGTAAGTAGGGGAGACCGGGGCTAGTTGGCGCACTTTTTACTTTAGATCTTTTATTTCCGTTTTGAAACCGTTTATGGAAGGTTTATCAGTGTTAGAAGAAAGGTGGAAGATCCAGCAACATTTAGACACTGCTAAACCACGTCTACATTTATGTAAAAATTTGTTTTGATTTTTTTTAAAACGCCTTGCAATTGCGCCAAATTACCCCATTGCCGGGGCAAGTAGGCGCATGTTAAGAGGCATGTTGGCATATGACTAAATTGATAGATAATTAAGTCACAGAAAATTTATTAATAGATAAAACAAAAACCAAGGTTTATTCTTTGGTAAAAAAAGCAAAAACAGCAAAACACAAAATTTTTTCTAATTTACTGACTGAAAATGTCAATCTTCGTCAGATGTGCAATTATGGCACACATAATGATTATCACCATCGGTGCACTTTTCATGAGCCCACATATGGCATTCAGTACACTGGATCCATTTCTCTTTTGAAGCGCTGTTAGAAAACCTATCTAAACATACAAGACTGAAAGTATCTTCTTCATCGGAATCAGTTTCCTCGTCAGCAACTATATGCTTCTTAGTGTTAACGCTTTTCATTTTTTTTTTTTTTTTTAAAGACATTTCTCTTTATTCCTTTTTCTTTGGCTCCACTATTGTTTTTTTTCCTTTTGTTTTTCTGCTCTTCTTCTAATGTGTCTTTAATTGGCGTATCTGTTAATATGGCTGTTACTCGTCTTTTTCTGCTAGTACTTTTTAGCTTTTCTGGTGCTGCTTTTGGTAGCGGTCGTATATTTTCTGGTGTAGGAGGTGGGGGGGTATTCGATGGAGATCTGCGAGATGAGGGACCAGGTTGTGGCTCGCTAAAGTTTATTTCAGCTGGATCTTCTTCAATGGTCACGTTAGCTGGAACATCTTGAACATTTTCTGGGTTCGGTCTGTCTGTGACATATCCAGGCATATACTCTTCATCTTGAAACACATGCGCATTATATGGAAAAATTCCTGTTACTGCAAATCCGGCTTTTATGTTAGCAGGAGAAGCAGCAAGAGGCAAACAAGAGTTTACAATTTCAGGAATGTCATAAATAGTCATCGTATGGCCAGGGTGATTGGTCATCCATGCATCGCAAGAAGAATTCACATATTTCTTTAACGGCCCATAAACACTTCTGTCTAATGGTTGTAGTTTATGGCTACAGTGAGGTGGAAAGGATAAAACCGTGACTCCATTTTCTTTGCAATAATTTAAAGCATCTATGGACAGATGTGAGTCGTGGTTATCCAGTATAAGCAGGGAAGGCCTTTCCCTAGATGTTTTTGAATGTTTAACAAAATGTTTAACAAAAGCAAAAAAATGTTCGGCGTTCATCCAGCCTGACGGATTTGCACTTCCTGCACTGCTTGGTGGTGCATTTCTTAAAAAGTGATCTCTAAAGTGTACTCGAGGGAAAATAAAAAAAGGTGGAATAGAATTTCCCGTAGCGGAAACTGCTAAAGCCAATGTCACTAACGTTCCTCGTTCAGCCGAGACAATCTTTCCAATTTGTTTATACCCACGCCGGCCAATCACTCTGTCCGGTTTTTGCACAGTCGTTATTCCCGTCTCGTCCATGTTCCATATATCCCCGGACTCAAGCTTAAGACGATCTAGCACTGTCTTTAAATTTTCGAAAAATCGGTTAACATTTCGCACTCCGGCGAGAATAACGTCACATCTAAAAAAACATAAATTGTCAGTATTAGCAAAAATCCAATTGCTTAAACTGTAAACGCGCTTACCAGGCATTTATTGATTCTGGGAGCTCAATTGCTATTATAATCATTTATAATTCTACTATTACTATAGTAATAATAGACAATATAAAAATTGTTCCTAACCAGATGTTTCCCAGGGGTAGAATAAGCCAGGTACTTTGAGTTGTGTCACTTTTCTTGCTTAACAATATTCTATATTCTGACTTGTGACATTTTCTTTTCTAGTTGTGTCAGTTTTCTCGCTTCAATATTTCAAAACTCTATCATCTTCTGCAGCACTTTAAAAAAAAAAACTAAATTTATCACTGTCAAGTTATACCTAATGGAGGGAAGGTTGTGAAAGATTTTATGACAATATTTATAAAACGTAAAAAACACGTTTTTATTGTGAAAAAGTTATAATAACACCTTATCCTTATATTAAAATTACTAATTTAACCATTAATTTAAAATTGTGTTATACAATGCTTCATAAAATTTAGGAATGTGGTTCCCATTTATGAGATCCTGTATGTCGGTTTTTTTTCTGTCGGGAATATTAATTTTTCTTGAATATGCTGGTTTGCAATTCAGCGTTGTGAAATTCACTGGATGCTTTCGTTTACCAAAAACATTTATTTTCTTAAAAAACTCCTGCTCATACGATGTTTTTATATAAATCACACCAGGCTCGTCCTTCAAAACTTTGATGATCTTAATGTCACCCATTTTAATAGATTCGTTTTCAGTAGTTTTGCTAAAATTAGGCCCAATCTGCTGCGCAAGATCTTTCAGGTTTGTAAAATCTGAATGTGACATTTCCATTACCTTGTAAGGTACACCTGTTTTTTTAGCTGAGCGGATTATTCTGGCATATTCCATTGGATGGTATATTGGTCCTGACTTCAAAGCTTGTTTTACAGATTTTTCAATGACAGCATGAACATTGTCGCCCTCATTTTGAGTATGTCCTTTTATTAGGAAGTTGTGGGTTATCGATTTAACAGTAAATTTTTGAACTGCATACAAATACATACTTATAATAAATTTATTTTTTTGTTGTCCACAACAATTATCGGAAAAAAAGATCATTTCGACATTTTCATCATTATGTAATTCAGCTGTCTGTTTTATATAATTCATCACACATGTCCCGATCTCGTTTGCACCCCGGTTCGCCTCTCCTTCGTGCCAAAAGTAACATGCGACATTCTTGAACTGCATGTCACTAATTGTGAAATTATAGCTGTTAATTTTGGACTTGTAATAGAAAACAGAAACTTCTCCACGTGGAGCGGGTAGAACTGCTTGGAGATCATAGGTTGCCAGTATAATACGTTTATTTACTGCTGTTAATTCTTTGTATTTTCTCTTCTGTTCTCTAGACAGTTCTTTTTCTCTGAGATGTGTCTCATACTTTTCTTTGAGTTCACATTTTTCTGCATCTTGGGCATTGTTATAAGCTACGCAGAGCTCGCATTGATCCTTCTTGGGAGTGAAGAAACTTAAATTAAATTCATTATTGAAAATCCTAGAGTATTGTGTCAAATTTCCATAAGAAACGTTGTTTTGAATGCATTGCTCCATGTAGTCACGATGTAATCCTGCAATTGTTTTTCCGCCTTCGATGTACTCTCTTGTGGTTTGGGCTCGTAAATAGTGGCTTTCTATTTTGGGTATACTATTGATGTGTTCACGAATGCTCGCTCCCAAGTCAGGATTTAATACTCTATGTTTTCCATGTTTCCCTCTTTGGTCAGCAGCTACAAAACCATCCGTATTTTTTTTAATTACCGTTCTGATTGGCCGGTCGGTTATATCTAGTGTAGCCTTGAAAAACATTTTGCAGACACGTATGAGTTTTCCAGAAATTGTGAAATAGAAAGCATGATTCAAACCTCGATGACTTCCTTCTCTCGGGTACCTATACGCGGGCCGAACAACATTCATACTTTTGGAGATGTATTCTCGCTGCAGTTGAAGATTTGCTAGATTCCAGTACTGATCAAATATTCTTTGTCGCATATCCTGACTGATCTTATTTGCACATTTTACTTTGCATTTGTCGCCACAAGGTTGCTGAATGGCCCTCCCTCTTACTTCTTTTGGAACTTTTGCAGATGAAAGGTAACCTTTTCCGCTGTTTCTAAGAATTTTTGCTTTTTCTTTTTTCCACTCTGTTGGATTTGCTTTTCTCTTTTTCGTTTTTTTTGGCAGATCTTGATTTTCTGCTAGTTCATTGAGTACTACTCTAACTTCTTCCTCAACAACTACATCTTCAGCCGTACTGCGTTTTCCACGTTCATGTCCTATTTCCGTCAGTTTCTTCTCTTCATAGAAGCTGCTGTCGCTTGTTGAAGAATTATTTGATGTACCATTAAAATCCGGGTCTGCGTCTGAATCATCACCATTTTCTGCCGAGAAAAAGTCATCGGATTCAAATGCCTGCTGTTTCCCGGTTTTCGTAATTTTTTTTAACTTTAATTTTGTTCCATGTTTAATACCGGAACTTTTCCAAAATGAACATTGAGGACTCTGAGGATCGATTGGACTCCTATTTTCTTTATTCCGACTAAACTTCCTAACATTCTCACTTGCAGTCTGTAAACCTTTTGTTTTTTCAATCTGGTTTAGATTTTTTGTTACATTCAAAATTGTACTTTCACAGGATTTTTCCGGTGACATTTTACAGAATTTGTTTACTTCAGTTTTATTTCGCTTTTCAGCTTCATCTTTTGCAGCTTCTCCAATCTCGTTTTGAACCTTGGCAATATCGTCAATCATGTCGTCGAAAGCGGGTTCTAAACGTATTTCATCGATTGTGTGTTCACTGTTGATGTTTTCTTCACCTTTATCTTTTTTTCTATTTGCTAATTCCATTTGTAACAGAGCAGCATTGACAATTTTTTTCCCTCTTGTAGTCATAATAATTGGTCTAAAGGAAAACAAAATGCATAATCAATTAACTATTACAATTCTGTAATAATGAATACAGAGCATCAAGCATAATTACACAACTCTGAATTCTACAAACTTTACGAATGTCAACGAAACACAACTAGAAATTGACTCAACACGAAATAAAACAACGTGACACTCATTTTCTAAGAAAAATATTAAGGGAAATAGTGATCAATTGAAAATTGGGTCCAAAGTACAATAATTGTTCTATCTCAAAAGTTGATTATCTTTTCTGTTAGAAAATGAATCATTTACTTGTGTATTTATAAAATAAAAGTGACACTTTTAGACTTCGGACGTACTTAGAATTATTAAAGATTAACTTACCTCCTGCAACAAAAGGGTACTGTTTTAAGTTGTGTCGTTTTTCTTGACTAACCGTCATGAAATTTCGTGTACGAACTCAGAAGTGACACTATTCTTGCTTGATGTAACGTAAAATCTGTCAAGCGGAAAAACGACATATCTGCCCTCTATTGGTGTGTTTTGCTAGTTGACAAATGACACTTTTCCACCTTGAAGATAATAATTACACACATCTCACTAGAGTATTAACTCAACATCACGTTTTTTTTAGTTGTGACGTTATTCTCGCCGGAGTGCGATTTGTTCTATTAAAATTTGAAGCTCTTGCCAAGCTGGTAGCCTCTGGTTTTCTTATGCTAAGCTCCACATTTCTTTTCAAATACCCGGAGAGCCAGTCTTCTCCTGCTAATTTATTTGTTTTCCAAGATTCAGGTATTTTTATTTTTAACGCAGTTGCATATTGGAAGGCAAACTGTCGAACTTCTTTTGGAGTGAGTCCATAATAAATATCCGACGCTTTTTGCAAGTATTTTTTCAAGTTATTTTCTTGTTCTAAACTGAACACCTGTAGAAGCAGAAGAGTGGGTAGGTATGTATGTATGTATATGCCTACCTAGGTGTTTAAAAAATTTCTTACCTGTCTAACTTTTTTATAACCAGGCTGAAGAACGTGACCTAGTGTGGCTTGTTTGTAGTACCTTGTTAATGTTCTAGGAGGAATATCAAAGTCTTTTGCTACACTTCTAATTGATCGTTTCTCATTTTTGATTATTTTTACGGCTTGTGCTACAATATCCGGTGGAACATTTGCTCGTTGTGTCTTTCTTTTGTAGTTACGCATGTCTGCCAATCAAAGATGTTCACTTCAACAAGGTTTTTTAAACCTGACTATGTTTTAAACCTCCTGGGGTAACTTGGCTCAATGAGTCAACTAGCCCCTTAATGACTTAGCCAACTAACCCCTGGAGTATTTACTACATTGAACACTAATTTACAGCAACAATTGAAAAATTATTGCATACTGTATCAATGTATCACATTGAGAACACTTTGAACTACTTACCTGATTAAAATTATTTAAACAAATACCGTTAGATCTTAAAATTTAGCAACTTTTCTAAGGAAGACGAAATTTACTCACTGACTACAAACACAAAGAAGTTGCTGTGTTTTCTAACTTACCGACTCTACGATGCTATAGAGTTTTATCAGAGATTTCTTAGTAACCTAGATACGGTGATCCTATGCAAAAGCGAACATACGTTCTTGGCCAACATGTACACTATGCGTTTTGCTTTCCATCTTCTTTTACAGCATGGGAACGCAGGAGTATGATTTTGTAGGTCTTTGTTTAAACCTAGCAATTTACGATTTTGCGCAGTAAACCCTTAAATTCTGCTAGCGCAAGTCGGTTCTTAATTCATACAATCGCCGGTGTTTGTGTGTTTGTTAGTTTGTTCTAAGAGATTTCTTAGGTTATAAGATTTATATCACGGTTATAAGTTTAAATTGCATAGAATTTCTAAAAATGGGTTACAGAGTGTGTGTTGTATGCAAAGAAAGATCTAATAATTCTTTTGTTTCGCAAAAATATTACAAAGATTTTTAATAATCCCGACATGAACAATCAGTGCATTTCTCAGGGATTACTAGATAATCACAAAATACAATTGATGAAGGCAATAGCGCAAATTTAAAATTATTAATTTAAAAGTCCGCTTGCAACACGAAACAAAACTGGTAAATTTTGCTTCAAAACAAGCGAAAATAAGAAGTAAATTAGTAAAATACATTTTATTTAATAATGAGTAACTAAGATTACATTAAATCACCAATATTTAATAATAATGTTAATAAATTTATACCACAGCTGTACGTCTTTTCTTTTTCGTTTTAAGCTCTCAACATTGTGCATGCAAATAAATACAATACGATTCTCTATTTATGTTAGAAACGTTCGTGGCAACAAAAACTTTTGACTATAAGAAAATTGCCTTATGTCATTTTTCAAGAGTTTCGCCGGTGTGAATGATAAAGAAAAAGTACGAAAAAAGGGAAGTCGACAGTCAAATTTATTCCAACGATCTTGTCCGTGTAATATTTTAATCTTAACATTACAAATCATTTTGGAGATTGCTTAGAAACTTTTCGTTTGCCACTTGTTAAAAAACTCGAGTTATGATTCTCTTTTATACCATTTTAAATCAGTGCGCCAAATTATCAACCAATGTTAACAGTCGCTAGCATTAGACGAAGATAACACTAGTATGTAGTGCACATTACAACGAGTAAGAGAAAGACAGAGAACTGAAAGTATGTCGACACTATTTTCATACATGTTGTTCCACACTTTGCTGGCCATAGCCGTATCTAGGTTACTAAGAAATCTCTGAGTTTTATACAGTTGGAAGCAGATGTCAGCATGACACAGTGCAATTTTAAAAGAATTCTGTTACGATGTTTTTTAATTATTGCCACCGAGTCAACTTACCCCTGTAGCCAACTAGCCCCGGTCTCCCCTAGTGCCTGCTCGGCGGTAACGGTCTTGGTCGCGTTTTCGGTGGTCTGGCTCGGACTCGATTGGGCGCTCCTCAGGGCCCTCCCCCTGGAGTAGAGCAGCTCCTAGGGCGTAAGCGCTGGCGTCTTCGTCACTAATTTTCTCCAACAGGCTCGCGGTTGTAATAAATTCCTCTACACTCGAGGCGTTGCGGGAGCCGTCTAACCGGGCCGGGCACTGGCTGAAGTGTCTCGTCCCTGAAGGTGGATGCAGGTCGGCTTCTCGGGGCCTCGCGACATCCCTGATGCCGTTTATCAGTTCGTTGAATTGTTCCGTGGACATTTGAATCGTCATCCCGATGTTGGTTCGCGGGCTTCTTCGCGTCGGAATCTTCGTTTTTCGCGAAATTGTGGTCGTTTTCGGGCCGCTTCGTTGGGCGTCACCTTTTATAACAGACGCCTTCTTCGAGCCACTAAGTTGGGCGCCACTTTTTATAACATTTTGCCTTCTTCGTGCCCCACGTTGGGCGCCACTTTTTATAACACGCGGTTTGCTCAGTGGAAACTTTATTCAAGAACACATAATATGTACACTGCATGAGACATAATAGGGTTTTTACACGACTTCGTAAAACAGTCACTCCACGGATAGACAGTCCTGCCGTACTTATGGTAACTCGTTCACTCGCGATCAACCGGGGTGTTTTCCAATGGCCGGACCTGCGGGACCCCTCGGATGCGCCGCTGATACTCAAGCCGTCTTGCCGCTCAATCTAGACCTCCAAGACCCCGCGGATACAAGGTGATACACAGATGAGTGGCGAAGTTTCGTAAATGGAAAACTTGCCGACTCTGGCCGCTCGGGTCCTATGTAAAGGCGGCCGGAAATGCGTCGCGTGGGAGTGAGAGGGCGCACCGCCCTCTGGTAAGGGAGCGAGCGAGTACCGGGGTGCTGCTGCATGGCAGTGGTGGTGCGTGGGCGTGACAGAGGGCGCTAGGGGTACTGATCGCGCTACACGTGGTATAATTGACCAGTAAAGTGAATGACGCGCGAAATTTGAACTCAGTTCATAACACGAGACCCGTATTTCAGTTCCCCGTGTAATCCTTATGGGTGAAATCGAGGCGTCACTTTAACGCTTAAATTGTACCATTAAAGTAATTTTCTTATATATCCCACTACCTGTACCATTAAGACTGATATTTTTACTGTTGATCTTGATACCAAACATGAACGGAACCGGTAGTATTTAATAAATATTTAAATTCAACTTTTACCACTACATTTGCCTCGAACGTATGTCGTACAGTGGTTCATACTGCCATTGACTTCCCCCTCCACATAAATGGCTTTGATTTTCAGATGCTACAGATACGGCTGTGAATTTAAAATAATACACAAGGAGATCTCATATTTGCAAATGTTTTCAATCAATTGCCAAATTTTGATTTAAGAATCATCATCAATCCCAAGCTTTTTTCTTTTCACACATTTTTGCTAGAAAAGGAAAAACTTAGCATTCCTGATTAAACCTTTCATGTACAAGTAAAAATCACTCTCATTTTAGTACGAATTGGGTCTGAAACACCCATTAAAAAAAAAATCACAATTTAAAGAACAATTTATTTCAAAACAAAAAAAAAGTATTTTACAATAAAAAATTGCACTTCCTAATGCAAAATCTGATTCACTTTTGGTGAAAAACTGACCCACAAACTGTTTTCTTGATGGGCCATAAAATAGTCCTCGGACACTAATAGTTCTTCGACACTGTGAAGTAGATTTTCTTCAGATCTTTCTAGTTCAGGGCCCAATAGCAAAAGCAGTGCTTCGCTCCTATCAGTTTGTCCTAAGCTTTCATGAAGTTGTACCTCAACATTAGCTGTTTTTAGGCTGACTTGGGGATTAAAAGAATTTTCAGAGACAACAGCTCGGACCTCAGCTGATTCACTTTTCTTCAGATGTACGTCTCAAGCACGCAAATTATTGGTCCACAATACATTATAACGTCCGTGTAGGGCAGGTGTAGCCATATGATGATATACAAATGCACCTCTTGGGGTTTCATATGTTGCCTCTCTTAAGGAATATCTATGCATAATAAAACAAAATACGTCATAATTTTACTTGACACAGAATTTATCAATATACATTAACTTACCATAATCTTCTCGCATTCTAGCTCGAATAAACTCTTCAAGCACATTTAATTCAGTATACCAATTGACTTTCGCTACATTATTTGACTGTAAAGAATTTTCTCCAACAAAAAAAAATGGCAATTGCCCCTATTGTTAACACATGTCTTTCTGTCATTATTAATAACAAATACAAAAAAACCAGTCCACAGATACATACAACCCAATGTGAATCAATATCACAGAACTAATATATCATCCAAAAATTGTGATTATGATTGTTTGTTGTGATGAAAATACGAAATCAACTGTCATATTTTGGGGATTTTCACGATCTAAACGTCACTAGTACCGCAAAATATTCGCGTTCTTTTTCTTTCCCAAGTGTTTCTGGATTTTCCGTTTCACTCATGCGCAAGACGTTAGAAACGATGTACGTTACTTCGATGGATAGCGTTGTTTTTAATTTGCAATATATCTTTAACAGAAGCTTTTTATATAGTTAAACCTTTAGTAACAGGAAGATAATTGTACAGTCTTTATCGCTTGTAGCATGAACTAGTTAAGATTTCTACCTATGCGGCGTATTTTGTCTGTAAAATCAAGCTCCCATAAGAAACCCATAGTAGAATTTTTGAATTATGAACT